TATATATATATATATATATAAGATGGTAAATAATAACAATAATTGAATAATTCTTATAGCAGCAGCATTTTCTCATCGTATTGATACAAAAGAATTTTAGTCCGACTTCAATTGGATTTGACTAGAGACGCACTTCACCATATGATTTAAATGCAGACAAGATTAAAACGATAGATAATTAGTAAAGAAAAAACAAAGATATAGAAACTGACATGAAATGTGAACGTATACGGATTTCGTAATGGTCGGCTATAAAATAAAATAACAAGATTCATTGAAATTACTTTTATTCAGTGTTTTAGCGACGTCAAATACCAATATTATTACTTCTAATATTATAACAGGCAACACATTGAGTGAAGAAAACCGGTCAGTTTCGGTTTATTCCGGTATACAGATCCATTGCGGTTTACTCCGGTATGAACCTAAACCGGTCAGTGTCTAGAATTGCAGTGATATATCTCGAAGTACCACAGACGTATTTTGGATATAGAATTGCAGTGATATAACCTAAACCGGTTTATTTCGGTTTATTCCTGCTTGATATGTTAGAATTAGTTTCGGAATTAATTTTTTTATTAAACAGAACAAAAATAATGAAACGGGCAATTAAATTATAAATAAATGCAAACTAAAATCACGTGTGCTTCTTATACATCATCATGTTTCTTTTTATTTACAAAAATATTTAGATTACCATACCTAAACAATCTCAATCGCATAATTAGATGATGCATTAATTCCAAATTGATTATTATTATTATTATTATTCGAAATTAGATACACGGAAAATGATTTTGGGTTCAACTGTTTCTTTTTGACATGTAGGGTATAATTTGCACATATTTGATATTATTGGGTTTTGTTCTTATTGCTCATCCCACAAAGCGGAAGTTTAGGCACCGAGCTGAAATTTTGGCGGCCCAATTTGAAAATCATCAGATGCGCAAAACAGCAAAACACGAAATAGGTTTTCTCGAAGCAGAAGCGAACGAGGAAGAGGGGAGGGGGAGGGGGAGGGGGAGAGGGAGAATGTGAATGAATGAAGGATTGTGACGTACACGAAGCATACCAGGCTGAAGATGAAGGTCTATCACGATGGTTTTCTGGATTTTCAGCTCTCGACTAGAAAACAGGTTTTTCTCTTCTGATGATCGCAAACCTTTCTTTGAGATTGTTCGTGCAGGAGATCCGAAATTGATCAAACATTGTGCATCATATCCTCGGAACTTGCTTTCGTTTTTTCAATTTGAGTTGGTTTTCCTAAGAAATCGCGCAAGTCGGGCGCTATTTCTGCTTAGTTGAGGCTTGCTATGCGATTTTTTGATTGATTTCTCGCTAGCGATCTGTAGTGGTGATTAATTTTGAACACTATGATTGAATCTTACCCTAGTTCTGGGAGATGAATTGATATTTTGGTAAATATCCGTCAAATGTATCTCGTGATCAACTGATTTTGAGCTCGTTTTGCGGATTGGTTTTGGTTTATCTGTCGAGATGTCAATCATTCAAAGTTGAATATAACCCGGACACTAGTCTGATTTAGGTTTCGAGTTTGACTGGTTTCCTAATCTAAGCGACTAAACCCTAAACCCTAAACCCTGACCCTCCATAGATTCACCTATATAAGCCGCAGCTAACGTTGCAAAAATGAGAGCCTGACCCTCCATAGATTCACCTATATAAGCCGCAGCTAACGTTGCAAAAATGAGAGCTTGAATCCCACTTGTAAATAATCCAAGGAACATGATGATAGGTACCAAAAGATTCATAGTGAACTTCGATGGATGGCTTATTCAAAAATTCGTGCATAAGGGTAAGGAACTTTGGATGAACTAATGCGAATGGGTGTAAGCGTTTAGGGTTTAGGGTTTTAGCTGGAGGATGAACAGAATAATCTTTGCCGACCTGAAGCAACTCACGCTGGATTGACATTGCCCTTATTGTTGTATCGAATGTATTGATATTTTCTTCTGCACAGTCTGATTTATTCTTTTCCAAGCATGGTTTGTTTTCAGAAGATTTCTGTAACATTTATCACACATAGATAGCAGTATTCTGGATTTGACTTAGAAAAAAGGACGTCGATCTTTCTTCCCTCTCCCTGCGTAATCTGATTTAGTAGTACACTTTGATAGAATTATAATGTGTTTATTGTTTTTTTCTGCAGTCTCATGAAGACCAGCTTTGAAGCTCTTTACTAGGATGTTTCTCTGTGATCTTCATCTGCTTGATAGCTGGCTTCTGCTTTTACCAAGTAAAGTAGAAACCAGGTGAGCCTCTATGATGAAAGATGTAACTGCAAATCATTTGCAGTGTTCAGACTCAATCTCAGCATAGAAGTCTCTTCATTCCGGTATCATATTTTCTATTAACTCCCAGATTACTCAGCGGTTTGTATAGAAAAGGCTGTTCTATGTATTTCCCTTTTGTTTCTAGCAGACGAGAGAAAGCCTAACTTGGTGAATAAAGTTTCAACAATGACTCAGTCCAACTGACAAAATGATTAGAGGTGAGTTCAGTTGACACTATGACTCCATGTTTCTCTCCAGTTTGGCCTTCTGGTGGTGACTTCTTGATTATCCCTGCATGAAAAGAGAGCAATGCTGCGTTTGTAACTATTTCCCAATAGAATTTCAGTGTTCAAAAAGAGAGCAATGCAGAAATATGGGGGCACTAACTCCAGATGGAATAAAGCCAAGATCAAAAGGTTTGGTACGCTCATGTTGCAGAAACGCTTTCTTACTCCTTTGATATGTTTGCATGGTTGTCTGTTGGAGCTTACAGTAACAAATGTCTCTTCACGTCCATGCACGAGTCTAGCCTTTACAGGTTTAGAATATGTCGTCTCATGCATGCATAATAGAATTGTATCTATTTCATCTGGTATGCCTTGGGATGTAAACATATAAATTGAGAACATGAGAGTTAACATGCATATGTAGATGCTATCGTAAAGATGGATAAATGCATTGAAAAAAGGTTAATGATAGTATCTTGAAACGCGATGATTAATACCTGTCAATAGAATTAGATTTGATGCTTTTTCTAGGATCTGGAGCTGGTGAAACATCACACTTGGCAATTCCAGCTTCTGAATGTTTGATATTTAAAAAAACTTACTTTTAGTTGTGTATATTGAAAAATATAAGTCTGTTAAATAACCAATGTAAGACACTGTTTCTTACATTTACATAGAAGTATGTTAACCATAATTTTGTTTGATCAATCCAATTGGTCAAATAGACGTGATTTACTGCACAATTTTTTTTTTGGGCCACGTACATGGTTAAGTCTTCATTACAATCATGTCCAAAGACATCTATTTCACCGTCAAAATCTGCTGGATCATCTTCTACAATGGGTTCTGGTGATCAGAAAACCGCCCATGACACGGGCGTTGCTGATTATTCCCAGGTTTGGCTCATCTACTGTTTCAATTCACGAGCTCACTCTTCCTTTGTTCTGTGGCGAAATTATGCCGACATGTCTTTGCCATACTTTGTTACTTTGCCAACAGTTCATGGTGTCTAAAAGCTCATCTGGTGATCCATATGAATGTTCAAAGACACATCTGAACGACCATCCAAGTCTTGATCACGGAATTTAATGAACAGCTACGTCACATTTTACCTGAAATAAGGTACGTTTTCTTACCCAACTCTTTCCATAACTATGCCTTTTCTTGTTTTTGTTCGTCACTCATTCTTGGGGAAATCATCTCTGAAAACCACAGCTCCATCAGAATCTAGGGATTTTTGTTTAGCCATTTTTTTAGGCATAAAACACTATAAGGACCCTGCAGATGGTGAATCTAGTGAGTTAGAACTTTAGTTAGACTCTTCTTTTTAATTTGTCTGTTGAAGTATTCTTAGGCATACCATCTTCTTAGAAACAAAGCATAACGGTACAGATCTTTAGCAAAAGATAAATTATTTAATATCTAACTCATCCATAGAGAATCTCAGTTAGTGATGTCTTTTTCTGATCCCCACTATGTGCGAGCGAGGACACCCCTCACCATATCCACTAGCACCATGATATATATTTATATTTATATTCGCAAATACACACACGTATATTATATTCAGTCCCTGTAAATTTGTGAGAACATCGATAGCTATATCGTTTTTGGTTATATTGTTCTTTTTGTCAAACAAATTAGGAGCTTGAAAAGCCTTCAAAACAAAATTATCAGTGTCAGTATAGATAGATGTTTATCCAGGTTAGATATTAAGCTAAATTAAGCACCATCTATAAAAAAAAATGAGTATTAGGAATGACTAGACAAGGGCCAAATGGTTCCTAAACAAATGTAAAAGACAAAAAGCTCTTTATCATGAAAAAATAAAGCGATCACTGTGGGTCTCAAATCAATCCCAAATATTATTATTTTTTTGTCCAAGGTGATCATATCTTATACATATATATATCCTAAAATCTATTTCTAACATCAGCTTGTTTTGACTTTTAGTGAAAAAAAATTTAAGATAATCTTTTTGATCTAGATAGAAAATGTTGTCCTAATCCAAATAAGATGCTAGGGAATATCTCTTTAATTTGAGTATTCACCACCGTCTAAAAGTGAAAAGAAAAACAATATATTCATTCTGTTAGATATTATTCATTATGTTTTTTCTTTTATTTTCTTTTTGTTTTCTGGGGAGGGTGTGTAATAATCCTGTGATGATGCTTCACAAGTGTTGAATAATCTATAGCTAAAATGAGTCAGCAATGAAATGATGGGTTGTATAAGAAGGTCCCATGTTTTTAGATGATTGAGACAGTTGGATCTAATCCTTAAGCATTTTATAAATGTCCTATTCGTTTATCATTTAGTGGAACCTCATCACTAGCCTTGTCTAGTCATTTCTTGCAAAAGAAGAGCCACAAAAGGAACAGGAATATATACCCTCTCTTTTTTTTCTTCCTTTTTTTATTTTTTTTTCGGAAAGCTCTTTTCCATCCATTTCCTGCTTCCAATATGTAGGGCATATGCATGAATTCACATTTTGTACGCCCTTTGGTTAAGCTTTTAGATTGTGTAAATCTTTTAGTGTCATCAGAATCTATTGATATTCTATCCTTGTCAACTGCACCATCATTTGTTATCCTATGAACAAATATAGTAGGTTCTAAGCTATTCTCCTGACTCCCTCTAAAAGAAAATGCCAAAATAATCTTCAAGAGATAAGATACATCTCATGAGGGATGTAAAAACAGAAGCTCTAAGGCCTTTTAAAAGCCATATTTTCAATACCTACCTACTAGAATGAAAAAGATGTTAAACTGTTCTGTTAGGAGAAAACTGTAGTTTTTGGCTGGGATATCTTGTTTGACACATGGCAATAGTTTGGGTTAAGTTGTGAAAACAATGGTGCTTGTACTAAGTTCCTAATTTTGTGACTTTCTTGGATATGTTCCTCCTTTAGAATACAAATTTAAGCCACTCAACATTGGGTGGATTAACTAGTAAGGGAGGGACCAAAACTCCTTTCCAACCCAAGTTCGAGTCCTCATTTGGTTTGGACATTTACATAGATTTTTCTGGTCTAATGAGAGATGTAGTTGGGTCCAAAATAAAGTGAACTTTTGGATTATAAAAAAAATAAAAATTTAAGTCTAGGAGTGATTATTATTATTTTGTATGTCCTATATATATATGTCAGCGTGTGTTTAGGGGACTAAAGGGTACGTTTTGTTATAGGACACCAATTTTTTATTCTTTAAAAATTTGAACTTTTTCAATTTCAATTATTTGGGAATATATTATTGTATTTTAGAATATGAGTTAGTCCTAAGTCTAGTGCGTTTACAGTTATATGTCAGTGAGCTGATCACTTGCCCTTGGATAGACAAAAAAAAAAAAAAGACATGCATATAATATATGCGTCCTCACTTTGCATTTGGATACGAACACTGATATAGACGCACCAACGTATTTCTTTCTTATATATACCTCCTCTTGTGTCTCCTCTATTCCCACCAAGAGTTCTTCATTTCTATTTTTCCTCTTCTTTTCTTTTAGGGTTTATAGAGGAAACTAAAAATGGGAGACCTTGAATCACCATTCCCACCGCACCTTTATCCACAAGCAATTCAACTGAAACTCTACCAAGCCTTCATCTTCTCCATCCCCATCTTGTTCTCCATCATTCTCTTCCTCTTGTTCTATCTCTTTTACCTCAAGAGAAGAGCCTCTTCTTCATCTTCTCTTTCACCTGTGATCCTTCCCTTAACTTCTGCCCACCAGTCTTCTTTCTTTGCCCCCTCTGTAAGTGCTAGATAATCACAAAATTTGAAATGTTCCAATGTGTGTAGTTATCTGATATTGGTTTGTTGGTGAGTTATTTAGATTAAGTACCCTCAAGGATCTTCATTAGATCTATGATCCTATTTCCATGCCCAAAGAACTAAAGTTTGAGGTTTAGTCGGGAAAGCCTCAGATGTTCTGTTTTGAAAATGTCTCCATTGTTCACATCTTCTCTGATCTTGTATAAGATGATAAGATATATGTGTATCAGGTTTTGGAAAATTTTAAAAGAGCTCATTCATTCCGAGTTATAATAACGGATGTGTTTCTTTAATTGTTTCCTAGTTTTTTCATATGCTTTACAAGGTTGAATTTCGAGCAATGGTTGTTATTAAGATTTGATCCTCTTCTTTCTTTTGCAGGTTTGTGTGTTGGATGTCAAAGTAGAGCTCAAAGACAAGCTTCCTGTTGTGTTGTTCAATGAAGAACTAGGAACAAGAGACACTCTGTAAGTCAACTGTTGCTTCTTTCTCAGTCACTTTTTGCCAGTCTTGCTCAGAAAATTTTCTCTAACTTCACAAATCTGTTCCATACTTTTCCCCTTTTTTTTTTTGAGGGGAGAAACTCAGAAACTAGCCCTAAACCCTTTCTAGTTCACTTCCAGTTTCAATATGAACCTCTATTAAGAGCCTCATTTCTTCTAAATTTTCCTTAAATTGAACTCGATCTCTGAACTCCTAAGAGGTCATAAGCTCACACATTAATGTGATCCTGGCCATTGCGTGTCAAGTTTCCACAAGAATTTTTCATATTGAAGTTTTCTTCGGCTGTTCATCTCCATACAAAAAATGGTGCCTTTAGGAAGTCCGAACTTTTTTTGAAGTTATGTGGATCAATTCGATTGGTTGATTGATTACAATACTTTTTTTTGGGGAGGGGGCAGATGTTGTGTATGCTTGGGAGAGTTCGAGATGAAGGAAGAGTTGGTGCAAGTTCCATCATGCAAACACATGTTCCATTTGGAATGCATTTGCCTCTGGCTCCACTCTCACTCCACTTGCCCTCTCTGCCGCTCCTCCATCACTCCAAAACCCTCATCACTTCCTCAATCCACGACCAATAATGATGACTCCCATAGTCTTGGAACTGATTCTGATCCAACTCTTCCGGTATGATCCATCCGAGAGAGAACAAAAAAAAAAGAAGAGAAAACAGTTTTGTGCATAGATCATATAGGTAAAAATACCTATTTTTCTTGAAGATCTTACAGCTATGTTAGATTTTTTTTTTCAAATCGATGGGATCAATTGTACATTCGATGTGAGGTGAATGATGGCATTGTGGGTCTCTCTCTACTATTACAATAACACAATCGCCTTGATGACATTGCGGTACATTCGAGTTCTATCTCTACATTTTCCACGAAAAATATCATATAAATAGATTGTTTTCTTTAAAAAAAAGATAATATAAGATGAAATATAAAATTTTAAAAAATAAAGAATTTATTGGGGTCAAACCTTTTTTTAATAATTTATTAACTATTAGTAAAAATTAGAAATTACAAACATATGTAGAGAGGAGTTGTGAAGGAGAACGAGTCTTTGGTTAATCCTACGAGAACGGTAGATCACTCCATCAACACCTATTTCTTCCTCCACAAATCTCTTCTACAAATTTCACTTCCCTACAAAACACAATACCACCCACACAAAAAAAGACACATTCACTGAAATTTTTCCTTGAAATGGCGGGACCAGGACAAGCGGCCGAGCAGTCGAGCGAGGTGCTGAATCAGAGACGGAGATTAGGGATAAGTCCGGTGAGAGCCGTTGCGGTCGGAGTCGCTATCACTGCCACTCTAGGATACTTTGTTTTGTACTCAAAAAAGAAGCCGGAAGCTTCTGCCGTTGACGTCGCCAAGGTTGTCTCCGGCGTTTCCGCTTCTCCCGAAAACACTCGTCCCCGTAACTGATTTCTTTTTTGTGTTTTAATTTATATATATTATACGTTATGATGAATTCCTTGCTATATTGTTATTAGTTTCAATAAACTTTTTGTTTCTGTATAACTTAAAAACAGGCGCCCGAAAGCAATTTAATGATATTTTTTTAATGATGTGCAAAATCTCTGAAACATGTGTTAGTTTGAGTTTAAAATGGCTAGAGATTTAACGAACTTTTAGAGATGAGCCATTTGTAAGAGGGAAATACCTTTTTTTAGTCCAAAGTTTATCATAAACTAAAGATTATAAATTTATGATATTAAATTGTATATATAAAATTATATTTTTAGTATTTTAAATTAAAAAAATTGAATCCTCAAAATAAAAATAAAATGATAATTTAATTATATCTTCTATGATAAGTTTAGAATATTAAAAGTGATTAAATGGATTGAAATGAGTTTTATGTATTGATCCTACCCATTTAGCTAGACCCAAATCAAACCAATATATTATTAAATCCAAATGGATTATACCCAAATGAGTTCTGGTACCAAATTGACATTACTATATTGACATTGCCACAGGCAAACACTTGAAAAAGCGGTGTCTAGAAACGCAAGGAGGAGGATGTGATGATCCAAATTCCAAAGTCCCAAAATATTCACATCATATCAAACCCCACAAAGTAAACCCTAAACCCCACTTTCAGCCTTCTACTTACTGTGCTCTAAAAAATCCGAGCACCCTCTCTTCTTTTATTTTCTGCGTGTGTGGTTCCTCTATTTAAACCAATGTGTCCTCTCTCTCTCTCTCTCTCTCTCTCTCTCTCTCTCTCTCTCTCTTCTTGATCTTTTCTATAACCCACCCACCCTAACAGACAGAACAGAACACAGACAAATCTAAGACATACATACACAGAAGGACATGCAGAGAGGGAAACTAGTTCCACATGTTATCTGAGCTCGGAAGCGATGCTGCTTCACCACCATCAGATAAGATGGGAAGTTTGTCGCCAGTATTCATTTTCTTCACGTCCTCCTTCGAGCATATGAATATTCTCTTCGCCATTTTGCAGAACTCACTGCACCAACACACACACATACATATGAATATATTATTCTCTTTGCCATCTCTTCTATCAAGTTCTCTCTCTTTTTTTCTATTTATTCACAAAGTAGCGAATATTATTACTAAAATCAACTTACGTCCACGGATCATCACCGACGAGCATCATATCTCCTTCATCGTCAGTGTAAACTATTTCCCAGAGATTCCGAGGCCGGAGTTCTCCCCTGATGTCAAAGAGTTTCTCCAGCTCATCAAACAGCTGATAGTACCCTTCCAGCACAGTTAAATCCACCGCCCTTCCTACTGCTACTCCCTTCATCTGAACCTGTTTCCCCCATTCACTACATCATCACTTCCGCATAATCTTGTGGCAACCCACATATGCATAATGTTATCGAGCTACGTATATATCATCTCAAACTCCAGAACACTTGTGCTTATCTAAGGTTATGTGTTTAGCCCCCTGGACACCTAAATTTCACAACGATGTATTTTATACCTATGTGTATCTGTGATTCGGATCATGAGGATGCTGCAACAAAAAATGTGTATCTCTCTCTCTTTTTTTTTTTTTTTTGAATACGGGTCAGGTGAATTCTGCAAACAACAGATGTTCGGTCCATACCTTGATACAGCTTCTGCTGGAACTGTTTTGCTTGCTTTGGACCTCTTTTGGGGACACCTGCGTTTTCTCTTTAGAGTCTTTGGAAACCTCAGATTTTTGCTCCGAGCCAGCTTCAACCGTTGGGCTCGATATGTTAATTGGAAGGGCATTAGTTGTTTTCTCCACAGGAGTCGCTGGAGTGGAGTTACTCATCAGATCAATTCCAAATAATTTGTAACTAGTGACTGTCTCGGGTTTCTTCTCCTCTACTGGGAAACCCAATTGCTCATTGTTAAGCTTTGCCATGGGCGGGATTGAATAACGGTTCATTAGCCAATCAGAAACACTCTTGGTATCCTCAGTTGCATCTCGATAGCAATGTTGTGAACCACTCATCTGGGAGGTGATGCACGATTGGGCAAACACGTGGGATTGAGATTGTGTTAATGTGGAACTCCAAAGGTTTGGTGCTGGCGAGCCTAAATCTACAGTTGAAGCATAGCATAACATGTGAGTTAAATAGCAAAGATTAGCATTTTACAAGAGAGTGGAAAATAGAAACAGGCGATTGGACCTCACCAAGACTAGATACTTCGTTAACTTGCCGAGGCCTTTTGTTTTTTGGCGCAACTGATTGAGCAATATTTGCCGAAGAAGGCACAAAAGGCTCAATCTCCCAAGGAGAAACCCTATCAGGTCTTAAAATTGATGAAGGTTCATCCCATTGAACCTAAAGAAGATGAAGCAGACTAGCTGATGTTATTATTACACTCAGAAACGTATTCAAAAGGTGATTAAAAAAAATGGAGGGAATTTTACTTCTAGGCATCGCCATTTGGAGTCTATCCAATGAGGGGAGCAGTCGTTAACGCCAACAACTGTGCCAGAAAATCTTCATAAAGAGACAAACACATTTAGAAAATGTCTTTGAAAACATAAGATTCGCAGCGTAAACAGTAACTGAGAGGTTAAACTACCTTCTTTCTGGGGAATCCTCTCCCTCAAACCGCATCTTAAATCTCATTCCAACAGAAAATTTATTGTTCAAGGCTTCTACATATTTGTTCAAGCTGACGATGAACTGGCTCGTCCTGATCAAACCGAGGGTAAGATATATGTGGATTTATTGAAGAGATTCATAGATTTTTTTTTATAGTGGTTAAGAGATTATACCTTGGCTTATAGTACACAGTGAACCTGGTTTGGGTATGGATGGCATGACTTGCAGTTGCAAGCACTCCCAGATGCATGCTCTGACTCGATATCACGGAAGAAGGCATACTGCTTTGTTGGCGAGCAGCACATCTTACTCCAACACGCAACTCCCCGTTTTCCCCTCTGCACAAAATGATTTAGTAAAATTTAAGTCCCAAAAACAAATCCTACCGAAAACAATCAAAAGAAGCAAAGCAAGTCAACAGAGGATTATACCTTAGGAAAACAAAGGAATCCCCAGCAACTAATCTTTTGGATGTGACAAAGGTGCTCCACCCCGTCGTCAAAAGGTGCCTTCTTGGTTGACCTGTTTCATTGTCCATGAGCAATATACGACCAGTAATCACAAACTTAGTTGTTGAGATGAGCATGTGGTGTGGATATGCCTTAATAAAACACCAGAAGTACGTTTTCAATTCATTTGCATAGTAATTTGAGACAATAGCAATAAGAATTTTGAACCAAGCTCACAGGACTTGATTCAGTACCTCTGAAAATATGCTTGAATTTCCACTCCTGACCATGGATATCCCGAGTAACCAATTCTTGGGTCGGGGTTGGCTGGGTCATATCCTAAATGGGCAACCCACATGAAAGTCATGTCAAAGTTCTAAAATACAAGTCAAACATAAGGCTGACCAATAGGTAACCAAGCATAAAACGGTGAAGTAGCCAAGTACCAATGGGGGAAGGCATTCTGTTGCGTGCTTTCTGAGAACAGAAAACCCACCATGTGTGCTGGTATCAGATGCTGTCAAAACCTTGCTGAAAGAGTGAATGGTTGACCTTTGGGGTGCGGGAGGACATGGGTCACGACATGTAGACTCATCAGCTTGCTAGAGATTCATAAAGTCGAGAAAAAACACTGAGAGACAACATGCTGGAAATGAGATTGTTAGAAATTGAAAACTAAATTGTCACTTACGGTTCCTATTGGTATCAGAGTAATCTGGGCATAAACCTCGTCCGTTTCTTTCTCCGCCTAACAACAAAGTAGATAGCCAAATGAGTCTGTACTAATCAACAGACGCAACTTCGTTTATAGCGAAGTAAAATTTACGGAAACAAACCAAGCCAGGAGCTTCAACATAACCACTAAGCCATTCTAGCTTCTGCATACCCCTCTATTACCGTAACCAATAGGGAACTCGTAGAACAAGAGCACAATAATCTGTTCGCCTCACTAAAGCTCTATAATTAGAATATCTTAGATGCTCGAACTTCAATTCAAGAGTATTTATAAACAGAAGAAAACCAATTGCATTTGCAATTCTGCTTATCGTGCTACATCGATCTATTGAATTTTCAGAAACCCAGAAAATGATGAAGTGTAACAAGAAGAAATCATCATCAGGAAGACATACCTGAAGAGTCACGTTCATAACACGGCAAAGAATCTTCGAAGGAAGATTGAGAAGCGGTTTCATCTTATTTAAGTCCTGATTTGTTGACGCCTCAAGCTGAGATGCCACCAAAATAGACATATTTCAGAAAAATTTCCATTACCAGAAAAAGAAAACCAATTTTCCCGAGAAACAAACAGAAGGGGGAAGAAACGCCGATCTAGATAAAGTAGAAAGGACCGAGAACTCTCACTTGTTCCATGTGCCCCTGGGGAAAGTAGTATACGTTTTCTTCAGGTCGAGGAACATCGACTAGAGGTCCCGCGCACAACTTCCATAACTCCTCGTATAAATATCCTCCACCTCCGTCATCTGGTTGGCCAAAAACTGAAACGTCATCAGGAAAAAATTCCCGGAAAATGGAAGAATCACGAGAAAGTCAAATACACCACCCGATTTCTCACCTCCACCTGGAAAACTCACAGGCTGAATAAACGCACCTCCACGATTCGCCATCAGCTCGAGCTCCCAAGCAAAACGAAGTCAAAGCCAGTGAAAGATCCTGAATCAGAAGTTGTTGAAATTCTCCGAAACTCGCCAAAACGGTCGAGACACTCCAATTTAGGAGCCCTAACTTCGATTTAATTGCAGAAGCCACGAGTCTCGGATTCCACCTCCACGTTTCTCTCTCCCTCTCTCTCTCTCCTGCATGTAACGATCGCGAGATCTGAATCGTAACGCAAGAGAAAACCACCAATACTCTCTTCTGCAGCCGTTACAAAACCACCTCTCTCTTTCTCTCCCCCCGTGAAACCGCTTCTCTATCTCCGAAAACCACCTTCTCTCTCCTCAGAAAGAATCTCACTTCCCTTTGCGCGCGTCTCATCCTACGCGACACACCCTCCTTGCTTTTATCTCCTCTTCCATGCCTCCACCTATTTCCATTATTATATTATTATCATTAAATAAGCAATTTAAATAACTACAGCTATGGATTAAATTATTATTACTACTATTGTTATTATGAGTATATATGTGTGTGTGTGGCCATTCAAAGCGAGGTAACGGAGTTTAACGGCGAGCCATGATCATTTGAATTTTGAATGTGTATATATAAACGTATATATGGATATATAAATAACGGAACAATACTTAGGTGGTTATAAACGGAGTACAAATTAGGGAGTACGGATGGTTGGGGAGCGTGCGAACGGTGACGGAAGCCGTTAATAGACATTAACGGCCGTCACCGTTAAGGTCCCGTCTCTTTCGTTGTCTACTCCGGGGCAAGCAACAAGCTTCGCTTAGAGTTAGTTAACCCGGCAGAATTTTGGGAGGTTGGATTGTATTTTTGACCTCGTCATTTGTCGTAAATTACATTTATGCCATTCTTGTGGGACCAACACCGACACACGAGTGATGCGATGATGGATCTTTGATTCTCAACGAGCTGATCTGTACTGTTTTGTACACGTGAGACAGGGTATTTTCGATATTTGATCGATGACTTGCAGGGTATTTCTGTCATTACGATCTAAAAATATTACTTCGGTAAAATTAACTAGTGTAATGAATGGATTAATCCTAAACATGTGATTGGGAAAAAAAGCGTAGACATTTTCGTGTTTGATCAATTAAATCTTCAATTAACTTTATGTTTGATTATATTAATAAACAATTACATTATTTTTAAAATATTTATATATTTTTTCCATTCGATCATATATATATATATATATATATATAGAATTGAGTAATCAACAAATGTATAGATTTATCCCGAGATCATATGAATCAATTGATAAAGGATAGATAGAGGAAAGTTTTTTCTTAACCCATATTCGAATCTCTGTTTGGAGGATTACGAGGACATTCACATAAATTTTTTCGATGTGTCGAGAGAGATTTAGAATCTTTAGATTATAAAAAAAATAGATATATAAATTTGAAATTTATTTATTATTTTGTAATTAGTCTTTTGGAACGTGATTTTTGAATAATGATTTTTATGTAATTGTTTTCTGCTAAATATAATTAATTTTCTCTAATGGTACCGACTACCGAATGATACCAAAACAATGTAAATTTAAAGGATAAAGGACACACAATAATTGTCATGGTGCGGACATATATTAAGTTTGCTTTGTGCGTTAATATTGATAAGTTAATTAATTAAATATAGTCTTTCTTTATTTTAACACATATAATATAATTAATTTGTGTCATTTACGTCACGTATGACGTGATTGACAACTCTTGTCTCCTTTAAGGATATATTTATCCAAGATGCCTTCAAACCCACCATCTCTACAATTTCTCTTTCTTTTTTTTTACCTCCTTAAATTTTGAATTTATATAGCAGTAATTAAATCAATATTTACTCCGAATATTCGTAGGGTTAATTAATTTCAACGAATCTAAATGTTAATAAGCGAAATGAATGCATTTTTATTTATTTATAGATATCAGTGGGTCAATTTATAAGCAATTCGTTGGCATATATGTATTTGAGGTTTTTTAGAGAATGAATACAACGGTCCATTTATTAGATTTTATGTGATTAATAAATATAAACTTTAAAGAACGGGAAAGGATATAGGATTTACTTTTAAATTTTTCTAAGCTCCGTATTTTTATAAATATTAAATCATATAAGATCATATAAGACCATAAGAGTTTTTTATTGCTATGAAATAGGTTTTGTCCATGTACTCATATGTAAAGCATTTTCAATCATTTACAAAAAATAGATTTATTGACTCCACGTCAGCATTTTTGTTATGTTTCTTTAGTTTCGTTATTATAGTTTCAAATAATCAAAAAATACGGCCATGCCAATTTGATTAGTAATCAGATATTAACAAGTTAAGTATATTCTTCGCACAACATATATAATATACATGATTTATTTACTGTGATATAAGATACTATAAAAATCATCCATTATTAAAAAGCTTACCTGTCTAGATGTGACAAAAAATGTCTAGTTAATTTTTAAAAAATATATTAATTAGTGTACATGAAAAAAAATCCATACATATATATTCCATATATTTAAATGCGTGCGTATGCAAGTAAATAATTCACAATTGATGTGAAAACAACTGCAAAATGTGATTACAATAATTGGAGAAACATTTAAAACGTTATGTCTACGGGAAAAGGGTAATTACATATAAGTAGGATTATAGACAGACTATATAATAATTTAATAGATTTTTTGTTTCTGAGAATATATTTATTTTGATATTAAATTACGAAATCTCTATGACTAAATTGATAAATGTGAGTTATAGACCAAATAGCGATTAGGGTGGTAATGTAATTGTACAAGAATTTATAACAAATGGGTATATGAGTAAAATCCCACCTTAGAATCATACCTAAAAAAAGAGAGAAAATATTAAAGTTAATTGTAGTGGAATGGATAATTAGGGCTGTAATATATAATAATTAGGATCTAATTAACAAAAAATCAAAGTACCATTATAAATGGAAAACGGTTCCAAAAAAGTTAGAAATTGCCAATCAAACTTAGAGTTTGTGTGTATGGTTGTCTGTACACTGTGCATTATTGCTCCACAAATGGTAAAATACCATTTCTTATACATAGCTTTATTGCTCGACATCTGTCCCTTTTCACAAAATTATATTGCAACTGTACTTTATATATATATATATATATATATATATATTATAGTTTATATGTTATTCATAGAAACGACCCTTGAGCTCTCCCAAGAGCTATGAGTCATGTTGTTCATAATTTTAAAAATGGATAGGGGAGCTTGTCTACTATGTATAATATTGAACTATCAATGATATTGAAGATGACCAAGTAATGTTAGTATTGTAATTTATATAATAAATAGATATTATAAAATGAATTATCACTAAATTAAAAAAGATTTTATGATTTTTTTTTTATAAATTTCGATACGATACGTGTAAACAATATAATGATTTGATATATTGTATGTTATGTAGAATCAAGATATTAAACATACAAATGCAATGCATAACAATTATATGTAATGGATCCAAAAAAATATATTTGAGAGAGAATAAGAAAGAAATAATTCGAAAAATACTTTGTGAGAGTAAATGAAAAGGAACAAATGGGAAATATTAGAAAATCCATAATATTATGATTGGTTAGACAAAGATATTGTATGCGCACCCATGTGGAGACCAACTATTTCAATGTTTCATGCCTATAGAATAGTGAACTAGCTTTCCGAATATTTTATCTCACGCATCATACAATAAGCCCATTATATTTTTATACTAGTGCATTCTTATGCATAATTCAATTTAAATATTGAAATGTTTGGATTTCAAATTTTACCGGACAAATAAAAATATCAATGAGTGACCTTTAAAGTAAATTTGGACAAAAGTACAGATTTGCCAACGTATAATTTTCGGCAATTAGTTGTGCATTGAGCTAATACGTTTTTATATATATATATAT